TGTATATCCACACCGGGCAGGCTTGAAAAATATGCCTGGCCACGGTGGGATTCGAACCTACGACCTTTGGAATACTAGCCCAATGCTCTGCCAACTGAGCTACACGGTCAGGTCGGTTCGAGTATGCGATATTTCGGAACTGAGTCTATAGTTCCTTCGATATCAGTGTAATCTAAGCATGATATTTGCTGTACGTGGCCAGGCATATTTTTCAAGCCTGCCCGGTGTGGATATACACTCAGAGTAGCATCACACAAGCATCTTATTCACCTGAGTACATTACATCAACACAGCAAATATCGTGTATAAATAGTTTTAAATAATGATAATAATAATATTCTCGCATGATCTGTTTCCTCCAATATATACGGTTGTCTATGAGAAAAATCCTGCGCCCTGCGGGCAAAATTTCATTCCCTAATCCCCGTTTTATTTCCCTAATCCGCGTTTTATTTCCCCATCCGCGTTTTATTCACTCGTCCGCATTTTCCACCATCCGTTATCTCATCTCCTTTCCGTGTCTGCCAGGCATTAAAATAAGCGTGTTTTTTACACACTTTGTGTCCTTAATTGTAAAAGCAAAAAGTGTGTCCTTGTAAATTGTAAATTGTAAATTGTAAATTGAAAAGTGTGTACTTGGGACAGTGTACTTTATCTTGGAAATAAAGCCCAGAAAATCCATTCCCAGTCATTTCCCACAGCAATATTGTTTAAAGTAATCATGTGCTTATTCCCTGATGATAGCCAGATATATATTTCTGGTGTATATATTTCTCGTTTTTTGTTGCATGCCATATATGGTATATGGAATGCAACTTTCATATAGCTCTAAATTTCGTGTCGTTAGCGGTGAGCGTACCGGCACGTGGCAGATTCGTAAAATGCGACAAATACCGAGTTTTTCCGACGAGCATTTTAAGCCATTCAAGTTATGTGAATCGCTCACATGCACGCAGTTTTCGTCGAGGAAATGCAAAGAAAAATATACTGATTGTTCGCTGGAAATTTACATTTGAGCGCCTTAGAAAAATAGATCGAGATAGGTAAAGCTTTGCTGTCTCTATTTGCCTTATATTCTGTTATTTGTTGTGATTTTGGAGCAGTTGTGCTCGCAAGTATTAATAATATCGTGAACGGCCACGCTATCAAAATACTCAATTTTTATATATACTCAAATTGAAACGGTGTGCAATGTAACTTCAAAACTACAGTATATTTTTATTTTGTAAATAACATGAAATATATTAAAAATATCAAACAGAATCAACATTGATTTTACAATCTGTCCTACACAATAGCATTTAGAACGAATTTCGTATTTAACTACGTTACAAATCTTAAACGCTGTAATTGTGGGACGTATTTTATTATATTTCATTGCGCATGCGCTTCAACTTTTTCTGTGTTTTTCAACAAGATATCGTTGAACTCTATTGGTTTTGTTGGGATGTTTATTGTGCCGTACTCTGAATGTTTGTGATCATGAAGTGACGGCCGTCAAGAAGTGAAGAACATCTACATATTTCAAACCGTCACTTGCAACTAACGATGAACTCATAAAACATTGGCATTGCCTATTCGCGTGAGAATCTTAAGTTTTCTTATTTTGACATAATAGCTATTTTTCAATAAATATATTGATATTAAACTTATTGAATCAATATTTTAAGTTTCAGGCCAGTTGTACCAAAAGTTATAAGCGCTAGCGCACCATAAGGCTTCATGGTTTTGATCATGGAGATTATAAATAACACTTTGGGGGTACTTTTTTTACAACGACGTGAAAAATCGAAGCGATCTGAAAACATTTTTTTAAAATATTTAACTGTAAATTAACTTATAATGATTGTATTCACAATTATAGTTATGCAAATAATCCCTTATTCACTAATTGGAAAAGGCAGTACCCAAAAAATAGGCTAATCCGCTCTGCACAACAGCCGTATTAATTATTTTTGTAGTTATTTTGTATTGCAATATCCAGTTATTGCAATATGGTGTTATTTCCAATTTCTGTGGTTTTGATGGCATGCAACATGTACGCACTGCGTACCTATTTTCTGTTTATAACGTCATTTATTTTACATAAATCTTAACTGTAGTTGTAGGTAGTCTAGTTCAATTGGGACCATGCTCTGTTGGACCACCGTTCATCTGTTAATATTTATACGATGATAAAGCTATTAAAAAAAAACTATGTCTACGTCTGTAAAATTACCAACGGCTTCAATTATTTTCCTATAGGCGCGGTTTCATGATAATGGCAATATCCGCAGAAATCATGGTACAAAAATCAGGACTCGCCTTTAAGAATTTTCATCAGACAATTGAAAATTTAATTATGAATCATTTAGACTGCATGATTTACGTACTTGTTAGATAGTCTCAACCATTGGACTATAAACAGTCCAAAAGTGCGAAAACGGCGCTTCTGCATGTGATCCCCAAATTATAAAATATTTGCTGATACCGCACTGAAATGTATTTGCATGATATAACTAATGTTTTAATGCCTGGTGTCTGCGTTTTTATCCGCGTCTCGCGTTGTGATGCATGCACATGGTAATAGCTTTATTTTTGCAAGAAACACAGTTTGATACTATTTCAAATTCAAAGAGAAATATTTAAAACAAATCTGTATAGTATTCGCGTGTACACAAACCAATTGGTAAAAATGGTTCAAATAGGTAGACGGCTGAAATCTTGGTTTACTATATATAGTAACGAAGAATCCTCGTATACCGTTAGGTATAACTTATCATTTTCTATATTTCAGTACTAGATAAAACATGAGCAGCCGATCTTTATCTGATGTACAAACTCGAGCCGAAGGCGAGAGTTTGTATATCAGATAAAGATCGGATGCGAATGTTTTATCGTTTTTATAAAACGAGCCATCTTTTGAGTTCACTGGCGAAGTAATTTTAAAAATAAACATTGTCTAAGCCGAGAAAATCAAAGCTGAAGTTTATGTAAATCAGGACAAGTCTATGCGATTTACAAACATTTCTGTTGAATTTTCTTCATGATTTTTTAATGAGTTTTATAAGTATATTTGCGCTTAGCACAAATTTTTGTATATCTTGTCTCTTTGGAATCAAGTGATATTCCAGCTACTAGAGTGTTAAGTTTAACATGCCCCATAACACTTAAAACATACTTCACTTTCCGAATAGAACTGGGAGATTATATAAGGATTAAATCCAAAATTGTGAATTTAGCTACTGTGCTATAATATTTTTTTATTGATTCAATGATTGATTGATAATTTTATAAAAAAACCCATATCGATAATAGTTACAAAATATATATGAAACTGCTAAGAAACTACTAGAAAAATATTAGCTATTAGAAATGAGAGACTTATGTGCTATTACAGTTACACTATCATAAGTGTAGATACAAAAATGTTATTATGGCAAACGGTTTGCCCAGTTTTGGAAGACGCACGCATGGGAAAACCTTCGGGAAACATGGCTAGGAAATTATGTTTTGCCAACAATTAGAAACAATCGCTAGTAAACGACGTTTTCGCAACAATATTTTCTAGTTTCTCTTGCGCCCTAGCTAGTGCGTCGTTGACACAGTTGAATATACACTAATACTCAGTTCACACAAGACTACCAACGTTGAATAAGGAAAATAACGGTGAATCTAATTGCAGGAGTACCAAAAGATTTCTTTTGTCCTTTGCTTGTACACGCTCGCAGTTTCGCTTTACTGAAAAACCTACTGCGTAATCAACTTTTAACTAAATTATCATCTCAGCAAATTCAGATGCAGTCAACCATCAAGCCAACCCATCGTGGAAAAGAAATAAAGGAAGAATAGAGAAGACGGGTGGTTGAATGGCATATACACAGAAGTTAATCAAGAACATTCCACAGCATTTAAGTGCGGGAAAACTAAACTCACATTTAAACTCATGCAAACTTTCGCGCTTGTCAATTCTCATGCAACTCTTGTTATCGTTTGATCAAGCAATGAAAGTTGAGACAATTTGTCCAACAAGTTGTTCCAACAAGTCTGATATCGTCTGCACATAACAAGTTGTTAACAAGTTGATGACAACAAGCTCGTAGCAACTTGTTACGAACAGCCTGTATTAGTCTTGTTGGAATAACTTGTAGCAAGTCTGTTACCGCCACCAACCTTGTAACAAGATGATAACAACTTGTTCCAGACTTGTCACAACAACTGGGAACAAGCAGTGCGAACACATCCTGATATCGACTTCACAACAACCTTGTTGCAACTTGTTTGCAGATCTCTAACAACTTGCGCGTTTTTACGTGTGTAGTATACAAGAGGGGTGATCCTTTGTCTATTACTTGCCTCTTTTGTGTTTCCTGTACATGGACAAGAGATTCGTTGAAAATTTGGAGGATGTGTTTGGGTATAGAACACCCTAAGCATCGAAATATACATCCTCCTTATACGCCGTACGAATTTTTGTGTGTATGTATACCTAACTCACAAGGCGTATAAAAAATATAAGTCTTGGCAATTTCGATCCTTTTTTAATTTTTTCAATCAGTTGCCTGGAGATTGCTTTGCTGTATAAAACACAGGCATTCCAGTGTTGCTAATAAACGTTTCATGCTTTGCCCAGCTTTGAGAAGCAAGGCTGACAAATGATACTTCAGGAACAACTGTTCCCTTATTTTGCCTTGGGTCATAAAAGAATTGTATTATACGCAAGCTTACTTGCCATTTCCTTGTTATTTCTGCCGCCTCCAAGCTCTGCTCATATAAAATCGTCCCATCCAAGATATATAGCGCTCTCTAGTTGCTATATATAAACGCAATTTGCGTGAGACTTACCAAAATCAGTATATACACTTCACATAACGAAATATTCAGTCGTAGTATCAAGACGACCGAATGACAAAATTATTTTCTAAACTTTGTTTATATGATCCAGTTTCGTTTTCAAAACACGACGAGCTCAATTTTCCTGGAAATAAACCCCATGATAGCTGTGTATCATTATTTAATTAGAAAACGAGAAATGAGGCATGTGATTGGTTGAAAACGAAAAATATGATAATTTATGCTGTTAACATCGTGAATGCATAGCATTTGAGGTTTATGTTCGTTTTAACTGTGTGTTTAAGCTGGATTATTTCTGTGAACATTTATATAGTTAAAACATTTTATAGTTAAAAACGCACGCGGCATGCAGAGTCTTTTTCATTCAAATAGTCGAGCAATGAATTTTGAGAAAACTCGCTTGTCAACTCTCGTGCAAACTCGTGTTCTCGTTTGATCAAGCAATGAAAGTTGAGAAAACTCTCATGTAAACTCTCGCTTGTCAACTCTCATGCAAACTCTTGTTCTCGTTTGATCAAGCAATGAAAGTTGAGAAAACTATCATGTAAACTCTCGCTTCTCAACTCTCATGCAAACTCTTGTTCTCGTTTGATCAAGCAATGAAAGTTGAGAAAACTCTCATGTAAACTCTCGCTTGTCAACTCTCATGCAAACTCTTGTTCTCGTTTGATCAAGCAATGAAAGTTGAGAAAACTCTCATGTAAACTCTCGCTTGTCAACTCTCATGCAACTCTTGTTCTCGTTTGATCAAGCAATGAAAGTTGAGAAAACTCTCATGTAAACTCTCGCTTGTCAACTCTCATGCAACTCTTGTTCTCGTTTGATCAAGCAATGAAAGTTGAGAAAACTCTCATGTAAACTCTCGCTTGTCAACTCTCATGCAACTCTTGTTCTCGTTTGATCAAGCAATGAAAGTTGAGAAAACTCTCATGTAAACTCTCGCTTCTCAACTCTCATGCAACTCTTGTTCTCGTTTGATCAAGCAATGAAAGTTGAGAAAACTCTCATGTAAACTCTCGCTTGTCAACTCTCATGCAACTCTTGTTCTCGTTTGATCAAAAAATGAAAGTTGAGAAAACTCTAATGTAAACTCTCGCTTGTCAACTCTCATGCAACTCTTGTTCTCGTTTGATCAAGCAATGAAAGTTGAGAAAACTCTCATGTAAACTCTCGCTTGTCAACTCTCATGCAACTCTTGTTCTCGTTTGATCAAGCAATGAAAGTTGAGAAAACTCTCATGTAAACTCTCGCTTGTCAACTCTCATGCAACTCTTGTTCTCGTTTGATCAAGCAATGAAAGTTGAGAAAACTCTCACGTAAACTCTCGCTTGTCAACTCTCATGCAACTCTTGTTCTCGTTTGATCAAGCAATGAAAGTTGAGAAAACTCTCATGTAAACTCTCGCTTGTCAACTCTCATGCAACTCTTGTTCTCGTTTGATCAAGCAATGAAAGTTGAGAAAACTCTCATGTAAACTCTCGCTTGTCAACTCTCATGCAACTCTTGTTCTCGTTTGATCAAAAAATGAAAGTTGAGAAAACTCTAATGTAAACTCTCGCTTGTCAACTCTCATGCAACTCTTGTTCTCGTTTGATCAAGCAATGAAAGTTGAGAAAACTCTCATGTAAACTCTCGCTTGTTAACTCTCATGCAACTCTTGTTCTCGTTTGATCAAGCAATGAAAGTTGAGAAAACTCTCATGTAAACTCTCGCTTGTCAACTCTCATGCAACTCTTGTTCTCGTTTGATCAAGCAATGGAAGTTGAGAAAACTCTCATGTAAACTCTCGCTTGTCAACTCTCATGCAACTCTTGTTCTCGTTTGATCAAGTAATGAAAGTTGAGAAAACTCTCATGTAAACTCTCGCTTGTCAACTCTCATGTAACTCTTGTTCTCGTGTGATGAAGCAACGAAAGTTGAGAAAACTCTCGTGTATTTCTCGCTTGTCAACTCTCATGCAACTCTTGTTCTCGTTTGATCAAGCAATGAAAGTTGAGAAAACTCTCATGTAAACTCTCGCTTGTCAACTCTTGTTCTCATTCGATTCTAATTGAGAGTTGATGAGAGTTTATAGTTTATTTTGTACTTTTGTCATATCTTTTTAGGTTGGCTGACAGTTGGGCCAGACCTCTCCGGTTCAAATTTCTTAAGTGAGACATACAATTCATATTTTAACAGTTCCCCTGCCGAATACTTAGTTGGAGACACGCCTGAAATCGAGAATCTTCTACCCCAGGCGAAAAACAAAGGTGATGGCGGGAAAGGTCGTGGGGGAATGGGGCCTGGTGGTCCCGCGTGGGCTACCCGCGGGATGCGTGGAATCGGGGGACGAGGGATAGGAGGCAGGGCTGGGTTAACTAGGGGCATTACGTTTTCTATCCGTGGTAACCGGGGCTTAAGTAGAGGTGACTTCCTAACCCGATAGGTGAAGGGTTAACATGGGCTGATACCGAAAAACTATGTACTTAAGTAAACAAAACTAAAAATACATTAAAAGCAAAACACTTTACTAGTCTTTCATACATTTGAATTGTGTTTTCTCGTCCTCGGATTTCGAAGTTAGCTTGCCTTTGGTCTTCGCCGATTTGACACTGGTAGTATTTAAATTAAAAATGTAATATTTTCGTAATGCCAGTTTTAATATAGTTTGTTAAAAACAAGTGAATTGAATTTCTGAGAATGAGGTCGAAATTTTTGTACATCTATGTTGGTGTTTCAGTGCATATATGAATACATTTATTTGGCTTTAAATAACACTTCTATACTCACTGTTCTGGTGAATTGTAGTGGTGTGGGAAAAATTTTTCAGTTTGGTTGGGGTTTGGGAACGTAAATTAATGCTCAGAATATGTTTCAGTCACGACAAAAACTTACATTAATTTTTTTCGTACAGTATCAATTATTTTACATATTTTGCGTTCAGGAGAATAAATATTCCCATTTGAAAAATGATTTAGAGCTAATTGCCTGTATCTATTTACATAGGATCAGTCCACGGCTTGCATCACTGTCTTGGCTATACACAGGTGTAAATAGCCGGAGAGAATTAGTACCCTCACCCACGCGTGACTATGGGAGTATAGGAGATAAACATATTTGCTTCTTGTTGTGTGGTTTTTGGTTCGCAACACGATAGTTTTTAAATGGTTTGTTTTGATTTTGTTCAAACGCGATTTCCATGCCGAACCTAATGTATCCCATGTAAATGATCCAAACTGGATTAGGTTTTGCTTTAATCATTCTACAACTAGAAGTTACTATCGCAAGGAAAGTGCTGCCTCATCCCCAAGGAATCAAAGGCAGCATGCACAATTTGCTGAATAAGGGGCTGTTTATATGATCCCGCTTTGCCAGGACAAGATATGAGGCGGAACGATTTCGTTGTATTGAAATAAGTCATGGTCTACAACTGACAACATTTGAGGTCTGTTAACCAGCATTTGAACTTTCATTTAACCTAGTGATTGAAATA